TTAAAAACATAAAATATGGTGTTGAAGGATGGATGGCTTTGCTTTTGTCTTTTTGTAGTATTATCATTTAAACCAAGTGAAGCCACCACCTAACTGTGAGAACAGTTTGTGGCAAGCTGCATAAAACGGATAGAGGCCTTTGTCTGCAGAACCATGAGCTATTCCAGCTTTTATAGGCTTTACTTAATTCACTTAAACTTTAAAAAATGCTCTCAGTAGTAAACATTCAGAAGTGGTGGCATCTCGTCAGTCTTGGAGATTTTCAGTAAGAACATCATTCAGAATTATTGAAAATCAAAACCAAGCTAGCCTTTCACAGTCTTGTTTTTTTTTCTTTTTTAAATAAATCCTTTTTCACTTGGAGTGCTGTTGTCATGGTTTAAAGTTCTTCCTTCTCAGTCTGGCTGTTGTTGCTCCCTCTGCCCACCAGAGATCCTCAGAGTCCTGCCCTGTGCCCAGGCTCTTTCTTCCAGTCTCCATTCAGCTCACCTGTTTCCACCCTCTTCACCGTTCCTTTGCCAGGTCGTCTGCGTTTCTTAAGCAGTTCTTAGCTTCTACCCTGCATTTTGTTTAACTTGTTCCTTTGTCATTGATCTCACTTCAGCTTGCTCCTGGTGTTTGTCTAACTGTCTGGCTTTTGTATTTTGGTTGAAGTGACAAGAAAAGTTAAGCAATCTGCCTTTCAGACACCATGTAGACCTGCTGAACATGGCTCAAGCAGCCGGTTTTACAGAAGACTTCCACACTTCTGAGGATGAGCCTTAATCCAACTTAAACCCTCCTTTTTCTTGTTTTTTCAAGTTGTAAGTGTGGAGCTGTTCATTTGTGACTGTTATAGGGTATTGTGTCGGTAACTTGCATGCAAGCTACAGTAGCAGAAGGCCAACTTGATGTCTACGTCCGGAGCTAGTTTTGCCTTGTTTCAGCGTTTCCCAGCATGCTGCAGCTTGTGCCGTATCCACAGTGTGTAAAACAGGCGTCGTGTAAAACAGGCGTCGTGTACACTTCAGCTGCACCGTGACCGTAGTTTCCTTCATGCTAATTTCTATCTTATCTCTGAGTCCAGAAATGCAAGTAGAGAGATAAGGGAGATGTGTTGCTATGTACTCGCTGCCCTATGTCTGCTTTACCTTTATTTTCTGTGATTTCGTTATTAAACAGGTCCTGAGGTCGTCCAGCAAAATCGATGCCCTTGGTCACCATCGCCTCCTTCATGGGCTTCAACCCGCTGATGAAGACAACTGGTCTGGGGCCGATGAACAGGCTGTAGACGTTCCCATACGTCTTCCTGAGCTGGGAGGGAACAAGATCAAATATCAGTATTAGAAATGCATGCATGTTGGTCGGACCTCAACGTTTCCGCATCACGCTGTCACATTAACGGACAGCCAGGCACAAGCAGCAGTAGGTTCATCAACAAGTTCTATTTATTAATGATCCCTGGAGAAAGGATCTAATGGAAGGTTCTACTGCGTACCTTATCTCAGACAGGTGAGCTGTCACACACAGTCGCCGTTTATACGGATCACTATCCTCAGGTTGAGTTCTGACATTTTAATGTAACTGTTTACGACAAGTGAATATACTGAGCTCTTCATTATTTGGACACCTTGATCAGCTGCTACTGGTTTAGATTTGATCTTGTCTAATCTCGCATGAACGGTAAACCCTGTGCGCCGTCCTGCACATCTCTGCATCACTGCGAGGGGGTGTTAATGGGAAGTGTCCTATGCCTGGATGAAAGCTGTCAGCTGAAGGGTTGATGAAGCCACCGACGTTCTATATGGACTGTCTGAAAAGGGCTTTAGCTCTGTTCAGTGAATGTTGTCAGCCTCCAATAGATTTAAAAATCATGCTGAACACACAATAGCAATCAAAAGAAAATGAAGTGAAAGCATTAGAACAGGTGATACTAGCATGCCATAAAGGACACGGCAGCAGGAGACAGTGGTGGTCCTGCAGAGCTCAGGTCGGTGGTCTGCATGATCCTCAGAGGAATCCTTTCTGTAAATAGGAGCTGCTGTGGCTGTGAAATGTGAAAAGCTGACAACTTTCAACCACATTAGTTGATAATCAGCTAACCATCATTGACTGATCAACAAAAGAAGTCAGAAAACGGCCAGCATCTGTGACCTGTCGGACTGGTTGAATCCACGCCAAGCATGCAGGCAGTCAACTCTGACCTGCCAACATGTTGCACAATCACATAGAGAGAGCGCGAGCAGGAGCTGTGTTCATGGTCTGAAAGTGTAATGACCCAACAAGTTAACTATTTACCTTTTAGACACATTCAGGTACTAATAAAAGTAATTCTACTGAGACCACAACAATTCCCGGCATTGAAAGAGCAACATCATTCCCTGCAGCCTCTTTCTTACCCTCTCAAAGTCCTCCAAAGGGTTATGCAGGTTCAGCTGCAGAAGGTTTCCCACTATGGGCAGGGTCGGGGGTCCCGGTGGAAAGTTCTTGGGCCTCCGCGACTTGAGTTGAAGGATGATGAAGAAAATGCAGAGCAACAGCAGCACTACTGAAAGAAACATGGTGGAAAGGTCTGGACGGCTCTGAGAGGCGAGCTGCTGGACTCACTGGAGCCGGGCAGCTGATTCGTGGCCCTGCCTCCTGTGGTGTACTTTGTTTCTGTGGACTAAAGGTTCTCGAGGCCGTAAACAGAGAGAGGTGACGCACTGCGAGGCACAAGTTCTGACAGGATCTGATTTGCTGAGCTGGCAGGCCGGTTTACGTGTGATACAGATAAGTCTGAGGTACGATAACAGAAAAACTAAAGCGGTTAAAGTCTTAATTTACCAACACTGTTGTTGTGCTCACTGAGTACCAGCCTCTAAACACGACCGCCTGCTGCCTCGGTGCCTCCCGGCTGAGCTGAATGCTCATGGAGGCAGCATGTGTGTGATTGTTCTCGTGTCTCTGTGGTAAAGCTATTAGGTGACAAACATTATTTCTGTTTAATTTCAAAATGTAAATGAACAGGGGCTCTCTCCTTTCCTTCCCTGTGAATAAATCCTGATGATGTCTATCTTGTGCTAACGTTTACATCCCAACCTGTGATCTCATCCTGGGCCGTGCATCACATATAAAACCAGAGCAGTGCTGAGAAGAAGGGAAAGAGAAGATAAGTATGTCAGGAAGAAAGACAAGTAGCTGCTGTGACTTCAGAACATTTCCTTCTGTACGTTCATTGTACTCTGTTCTGGCCATAGAGACAACTTCAGTTTACTGTCTTTTGAAGAAAACAGAAATAAGAGATGGTAAATTCTGCAGATACCAGTATAAATAAATATCTACATACTTCATACATTCAGCTGCTGCACATTTATTTAAAATGCACACAGTTCTGTTTATTGGGTAAACTTGAGCGACATAATGCAATTTAACACAACAAAAGTAAAACACATTCTAACTATTCTCTATTAATTCAAGCTAAACAACAACGTTCATGTGCTTTTCACCCTAACAGGTTAAACAGGTCTAACTGTGATCAATACATGTTGTTTTTGGGCTGCTGCTGTAGCTCAACTGGTTGAGCTGGTGACCCAGGTACAGGGGCTATAGACCCAGGTACAGGGGCTATAGACCCCGACGCAGCGGTCATGGGTTCGAATCCAGCCCACAGCCATTTGCTGCAGGTCCTTCCCCTGTTCTTCTCCCCACTTCCTGTCTCTCTCTCTACTGTCCTGTCAAATAAAAGGCCAAAAAATACATGTTGTTTTGGTCATTTAGTGTTTAACGAGCCCCTCTGCTGGAAGTCAAGCCTTTTGCCTTGTTGACAGGCGAGTGCTTTCTCTACACGCTGGCCGACATATACCAGTCTGCGCCATGGCTGAGCATGTCGCCTTCAAACTGCAGCGTGCTCATGATAACGAAAGAGATTCAGACTTCCAGTGTTTCATACATGACAAACGTAAAGAACAAACCTGTCTGCTTGTAGGATTTCACATGTAACTCTCTCTGTTGTTCCAACCTGCTGTTGTCTGGCACAGATGCAGTGTTTGAGCAGAGCTGTAGGTGAGCTGGTGTGCTGAGGTGCAGTGAGCAGCACCGGGAGTGGATAAAGAAGGAGAGGCGGGGACTAGATAGACATCTCAGGCGTTATCTGTTGTTGTCATGGTAACAGACATCTGAATATGTCGTTGTGATCCATGGAGGTGAGTTTGTTCAGTGACCAGAGTGTTTAACGTTCAGGTTTCAACAAAAACAAGATACAAAATGGAAAAACAGATTTGCATCATTGTGTACCTTTTTATTAGAAATGTGTTTCAGATGAATCAGAACAACCTCCACCATGTCAGTTCTTACTGTAAGTGTTTCATTTAAACAACAGAAAAGGCAAAGAGGACCCCTCCCCTTCATATTTAATATGACGTCTCAGGGACAGTTCTGCACCAAGCTCCTATCCTCACAATCCTCAAAAGGTGTTCAAACAGACGTTGGAGAGGGAGGCATCATCTTATATTCTGGACCCGTACGGTCATCAACAAGTTGGGAGAAGATTTGTTTTCCAGCAAGACAATGACCAGAAGCATACAGCCAGAGCGCCACAGAAATGGTGTAAAGACAACATGGTATGGCCGATTCAGAGCCCAGACCTCCAACCAGTTGAGAACTTGTGGCTGGACTTCAAAATGTCTGTTCACTCATGATCAACCTGACAGAGCTTGAATACTTTTGCAAAGAAGAACAGGGTCAGACTGTTCAGAGTGTATCTACTAAACACTGGCTGAATACTTCTGCAATCACGTATTCATCTACTTCGTACTTACTTTGTAGAAATGTGTTTTCACTTTGACATGAACGAGTTTATTTATGTAAATGACTGTAAGGAAAGCCTGATTAAACTGACAAGGATTTAATGTTGAAAAGCAATTAAAGGGGAAAACTCTGAAGATGGGCGAAACCTTTACAGGTGCTATAGTTGCTGTTAAGGTTGCCTGAAAAGCCCTCCATTACTCCCATCAAATTATTGCTCAGATGTGTTTGTGTTCATCTGAGTTGGCGGCTCTGGTTCTGCTGTGTGTCTGGAGACCACTTCACTGGGATGACCTGAGCTGGACCTTCATGCGGTAAGGTTGTGGAGACAAAGTGACTCCATAGACTGGAGTGAAGTCTGGTTCTCCTGCATCCTCAGGCCAGATGAACTTGAACTTCCTCAGCAGAGTCACCATGATGAGGAAGAGCTCCATACGGGCCAGACCCTCTCCGAGACACATCCGAGGACCTGAGGGATAGAAAACACCTCAAAGTCATCGACAGCAGCTATTTGATCTGCTTCAGCATGCCACTCCAAGTGTGGTGCAGTCTTGATGTTCTTGTACCTGCAGAGAAAGGCATGAAGGCCTCTGGTTTGACAAACTCTCCCTGGTGGTTCAGGAAGTTTCCAGGGTTGAATTCATGAGGGTATTTCCACTGTCCCTCCTCATTCAGCACTGAGGTCAGGTTCTGGATGATTATTGTACCCTGAAGAGAAAATGAACCAACAGACCAACGGTCACAGTGGACACTCGTTAGTTGATAAAATCTCATTAACCAGGTGCCTCTGACCTTTGGAATGGAATATCCCATGAGCTCTGTGTCCTTCGTGGTGCTGTGGAAGACGCTGAGTGGAGCAGTGTTGGACATCCTCTGTATCTCGTGGATCACAGCCTGGATCAGGACACATTTAGACATTTCCATATGCATTATCTGATTTGCTGCAGAAGGAAAAGAAAGCAGGCTCTGAGATGCTCAGCTGCAAAAACGCAGATCAGTAACGCTGCAGCAGGCAGCAACAGACCAGGATGAATGTTATCTAGAGAGGGACTACTATGGAGCTTCCAATCAGATGAGCTGCATGTGTTTGACCACATGCCATGCTAATGCAACAGGGCCATGAATACTGAGCAGAATAGAAACCGACTCTAGCAGGTTTCTACTCTTGTCAATGACTTCCTACCTTGAGCCGACTTTGCATGATTATCTACCAGACATGCCAGTCAGAACCAGGCTCACACGTTACACCTGGCTGATTATTTGCTGTACCTGCATGTAGGGCATGTTGTTTTTGTCTTCAAAGCTGGCCTGATTCTTCCCTCCCAGCACCTCATCGATCTCCTGCTGACATCGCTCTGAGGGGGCGAGAAAACATCAGACGTTGAGCTCCATATGTTGCACTACAACTGAAACGATGAGATAACAATACAACATGACTGCAAATCAGGGAAATGTCCAGTCTTGAGGTCTGAGGAGGAGAGCAGTGATAGATACTGGCCATGAACAAAACAAATCGGCAGCTTTTCAGTGAGGGTCCGTATGCAGTGCATGCTGACGTGGGTGGACAGCTTTGTGACGGACCTAGACGAAGTGTTTCCTCTGATGTTGTCAGTTATTTTCTACACAGACTCCATTCAGTGAGGTCTACATTACAGGAACAGGCTGAACACTGGACACATGTGCAGGTAGACCTTGTATGTGTGGGTACTTCATCAGGTACAGGAAACCAGTCAGCAGGGTGTTGGAGGTGGTGTCGGTCCCAGCAAAGTGGAGATCCATAGCGTACAAAACAAGTTTGTCTTCTGCAAATGAAGAATCCTCTGACTTCTAAGAACAGGAGAGAGATCTTTGTAAGACAAATGCATGTAATTCAATTGTACCACGACGAGGAGAGGGAAGAGTTAGCTCATGACTTTGTGCACTCGATCTGCTGCAGCGGTCTCATTTCAACATGTCAGGTTTTAATGGATGTCCTGTATCCGTGCACGGTATATGAGATAGTGAGTTGACTGTTTTCATACACGTAAACACCTTGTCTAGTTCTTCCAGGTAGCAGTCAACAAAGTCTCGAGGCTCTCCAGGGACTCTGGTCTTCTTGTGCTCATTCACCAGACGCAGCACAAGATCCTGGCAAGTCTAAGAAACACAAAGCATCACTCACAAGTTGTATGAATTTACATTTCTCTTTTCACTGATATGTGTGTGTATGACCAAGCACATGGTGTGTGTGCTGGCCACTGTAGTGTACATGCATGTGCTTAGATACTTCAACACCTTACCATGCAGTTCTCAAAGGCCTTGCGGAAGGGAAGTGGCAGCTGACGAATGAAGGGCAGAGAGTCGTACAGCTGTGAAGAAAGACAAGTGAAATGAGTCTGACTGTGATGGACTGAGCTGTCCAGAGTGTACCCTGGCTTTGGACTTTGTCAGTCTGAGTAGGTTGCAGCCTGCCAGAGACCCGTGACAGGATTACCTCGGCGTTATCTATGATGTATTTGGACCCAGTCATACAGACGGTGCTTCCTGCCCGATGAGCTCAAAACAGGTGAGTTTGTCCTCAGATAGAGACCAAGCTGAGATGTACTTTTATGTTCAATGCTAGCTAGTTAATATTAGCATGGCTAACATGCTAAGCTAAGCATCTGGCTCAGAGCAGCCTCACAGAGCAGCTGTACAGGCTGCTGACCTCCAGCCCTGGTCAGCCTTCAGAGTCGGGTTTAACACCTCTTTAACTCACCATGGCCCACGGTCCGTTGGCGATCTTGGCATTCTCAGTGAAGCACCGAACCACCTCTTTGATAAACATGTCGTCATACTCGTAGCGTGTACCGAACAGAACCTGGCAGATGATGTTGGAGGCTGCGTTGTGAAACATGACTTGAGGACTCATGGTTTTACCTGTAAAAGAAACACACAACACAAACTAACACGTGGACAGGATGGTACCAGAACCCAAACCAGCAGAACAACAAAGCGTTCAGCTGTGTGGACCTATAGATGTCGTACCAATGCTCTGTTCCAGCGTTTTCATGGTGTGTTGAATCTCATCATGAATTCTCTCCTCCATTGATTTCTTCCCCAGACCAAAGTTCCTCAGAGTCATCAGAGCGAAGCGGCGATGCTCCCTCCAACGAGGACCATAATCTGCCAGAATCACTCCTGCAGCAGGAGCAGCAGCACAAAGAGCTCAGGAATGATCAGACTTAACAAACAGTTTTATTCCAGTGCATCTCTACCTCGTGTCCTGTTTCATTTTGTCGTTTCCACTGTAGTTTAAAGTATTTTCTTTATTTAAAACCTGAGACATTGCTGTATCAGATGTATCCCAGCAAAACTCATCAGATGAGTGAGGTCACAGTCTCTGTGCATGTTAGTTACACCCAGAAGCAACAGTCAAGCGTCATGTTAAAGTGATGGGACATGTTCTGCAATGTCTGCATTTATTCAGCAAACTGTGTGGGTACAAGAAACACTCATTTAAAAAAAAGAGTAATGTTTTAATTTGGGGTTCAAATACATCTGCTATTAACCATTTATGAGGTCTGCTTTGTTGTTGCAAGACAACAGACAGAGTCTTGCCTAAGGACACAACGACCATGAAACAGGTTACAGGGCGGAATCGAACCGCCGACCTTCCGATCATCGACCGATTCGCTCTACCACCTGAGCCACAGCCGCTCTACCACCTTGAATTGAACAAAAAACAGAACAAAAATGCTCTAAATATTAAACTTTGCAAAAGTTGTGGCATCCAGTCAGTCCAGGAGATTTTAAGTATTGTCCAAAATCAATAAAACACAAATTCAAAAATGCCTCCCAGACTGGTGGTTTCCAGTAATTCCCTCTAAACGTTCAGCGTTGCTGCCATTGTTGGAGCTTCTCTCTCAGTCTGTGCCACTCCCTGCTCCCATCCTGTTCCTCAGCCCCTTCTACGCATGTTTTCATTCCCATACATTTGGTTTCACCTCAGCTTGCTCCCTGTTTGAACCTGATCAGACAGGAGAGCTGCTATCAACCTGCCTATTTGCTGTTGTATTTCCTTTCTTCAGACCACACGTTGAGCTGCTGAACACGGATCAAGTATTTGTTCTTACTTATTACCTGAAGAAGACAAATCATAGGCGAGCTCAGTCTTGACGTTAGCCTTTGTTTTCTTTTCTGATTCTACATAATTTATACCTGACATACTTTATAGTTGCTCTGCATGCTGTGTCTCCTACAAACACACACCAGATAAAAGGTTTCATTTATAGCCCAGGTGCTTGGTTTTTCCTTTTCAGCGTTTTCCAGCTTGCTGCAGCATGTTTCTCATCCACGGTGCGTTCAGAAACAGGCTGGTCTTGTGTACACATTACTGAGATAATAACAGCAGTGAAAGCTTTAAGTGCACCATGACCGTGCTTTCTCTCCAGTTTAACCAGTTTCTATCTTATCTCTGAATCAAGAAATGTTTGACTGAAACGTTGGCGTATCCTATATGTCTGCTCCACCTTTATTCTCTAAGACGTCGTTATTAAACAGGTCCTGAGGCCGTCCAGCAAAATCAGCGCCCTTGGTCACCATCGCCTCCTTCATGGTCTTCAGTCCGCTGATGATCACGGCTGGTCTGGGACCGAGGAACAGACTGTAGACGTTCCCATACGTCTTCCTGAGCTGAGTAAAACAAGAACATTTGCTCATTTAGTTCAGCTCACTGTCTGTTACCCTGCAGGGCAAAGTCACAGAGACAGGCCCAGTGTCAACGGCTGAGAGGCTTAAAATCATCTAAAAGGGTAAGAGCGATAAAAGCATAAAGAACATGAAGTGTAGACACTACAACAGGGGAAATGAGAAGTCAACAGGCTGATTATTGGTTCTTATTGCACAGACATGCTGTTTTAGCTTCGGTCCGTCATCAGGGTTTACATTCTGTTCTTTCTACGACCACCCCATCCACTGCCTGTAACACCTGTACACGAGTTAATGAGGTAGAGCACTGTGGAAATGACATCGCATTCTCAGATCAGTTGCCATCCAGGCGTGTCCTGCTGCCCTCACATCAGGGTTTCAGTGATCCCCAAAGACCCTGACCCTGTAACTAGGAGGAGCTGCTGCCATGAGATGTTAGAAGGGATTTGTTTCCATGCACAGAGCCCTGCTAAGCGAAGCCCTTTCAGCCACATTTAATTGATAATCACATCACAAATATTGACTTGTTAACAATAGAAGTCAGAAGACGCCCATGTCTGCGACCTGTCGTCCTGGCGGGATCCGTGCCAAGTGTGCAGGCAGTCAGCTCTAATCTGACACGCAGCAGTGATGCAGCAAACAGAGAGTTCTGTGACTGTCGCAGGTGCTTCATGTTAAAGCTAACAGGTTGGCAGCACAAGTAAACCGTGACTGTCAGTATTTAGATATGTAGACACACTCACATACTAATAAAAGGGAATTCATTAATGTGCTACCAGTCCTACAGAGCAACATCATTCCCTGCAGCCTCTTTCTTACCCTCTCAAAGTCCTCCAAAGGGTTATGCAGGTTCAGCTGCAGAAGGTTTCCCACTATGGGCAGGGTCGGGGGTCCCGGTGGAAAGTTCTTGGGCCTCCGCGACTTGAGTTGAAGGATGATGAAGAAAATGCAGAGCAGCAGCAGCACTACTGAAAGAAACATGGTGGAAAGGTCTGGACGGCTCTGAGAGGCGAGCTGCTGGACTCACTGGAGCCGGGCAGCTGATTCGTGGCCCTGCCTCCTGTGGTGTACTTTGTTTCTGTGGACTAAAGGTTCTCGAGTGCAGAAAGGACTGGACGCTCTGAAGAGGCGAGCTGGTTGGTGTACTATAAAAGGGCAGCTGAGCTGGAAGCCCTGCCTCTTCTGGCTGTTTGCTTTATGTCTTTGTAGTAAAGGTAAATGAAGAACCAGAGAGAGGTCACACACACCGAGGCACAAGTTCTGACAGGATCGGATTCACTGAGCTGGCAGGTCGGTTTAATATCGGAGAGTACAGATAGTGGAGAGTCAGAGTTTGAGCTCTTTATTTATCGCTGGCGTGCTCGCTGAGGCTGCCTCTATAAACAAAACAGTGACACTTGTGAGTTTCCTCGATGCATCACAGCTGAGCTGACTACTAATGGAGGCAGCATGTGTGTCTGTGAAGTGTTCAGTTATTAGATTACCAGAATAACAACTCATTTCTCTGTTGCCCTCTCGTTCTCTTTCATGTCAATATAATGCTGATAATCTGTTGCTCAATTAGTTTCAAAGGTTGCCTTGGCTTCCATCCATCCATCATCTCTACACCTGAACCCTCACCAGGGTCATGGGGGGCGGAGTCTATCCCAGCTGACTCAGGGTGAAGGCAGGTTCACCTGGACAGGTAACCAGTCTATCACAGGGCTACACTTAGAGACAGACAACCAAGCACACTCACATTCACACCTACGGACAATTTACAATCACCAATTAACCTCAGCATGTTTCTGGACTGTGGGAGGAAGCCGGAGAACCCGGAGAGAACCCACGCTGCACGGGGAGAACATGGAGACTCCACGCAGGAAGATCCCGGGTGTCCTCACCGGGACGCCAACCAGCGACCTTCTAGCTGTGAGGCGCTAACGGTGCTAACCACAGAGACACCTGCAGCCTTTGCCTTGCTATGTCTTGGCTTATTAGTTGAGTGGAAGACAGTTAATGATTTAATTAATCACAGGCAACATGATGTAAAATAATTCAGCCTTTCAGCAGGTGTTTCTCTTGCAATAACTTTTGCTGCATGTGAGGTTTTACATTCCATCCCGTTATCTGTTCTTGGAACAACTTGTGTGCAACAAATGCACTTAAACAACTCGGCCAGCTTTGGGAAACTAAAGTAAAGAGAAGAGATATAAAGTACAAGTAATTAGAGGAATAAGGAGACAGCAATACAGGACCAACACACTGCCAATTAAAAGGGTTTTAGTGTCTTAGGGACTGAAAAAAGAATTAAAAAATACAGAAAAATGGGAGAGGTAGCCTATATGATTTTAGTCGAATTTATAAAGAAATCTGTGAGTGGACCATGAAGTCAGTTTAAATTCACGCCTGAAGTTTAAAGCAGAGCTGAGCTGCCAGTCTGCAGATTCAGTAACTCAGTGACTCCTGCAGCAGGACGCAGACGGGCTCTGACTGAGATACTGAACATGAGGCAGAAGCCGGGAACAGAGTCTGTTGTTAGAAGATTCAAAGAATTCAAAAGGATTCAAAGACTTTAGTGTCATGTGCAGCAGCAGGATGTCCTCAATGAAAGCTTCAGTTCTCTGAGTCTCCACCCGGAGCCACCATCAACCTTTCTACAGAATATATTCAGTTAGAAACTCACCATGTTCTCTGATAAATATGAATATACAAACATAAAAAAAAAAAGGTTCTGTAGAGAGAAAAAACAAGTATAGAAGATGTTAATGGTGCAGAAAAGGTTCAGACGATGGACTTCCCATATAAAACACACAGAGTGAGTTAATGTGTTTAAAAGGTTTGTGAAATCATTTAATAGTGTGAATTTATTTAAGCTTTACAGGAACGAGATCTGATTGGTGAGTTGTGCTGTTAATGTGAGTAAAAACACCTGCACACTGTCTGTTCATAGGATGTCTGCTGAGTTTGTTCATTTCTTTGCCAACTGAATCCAGCAGATGACTTTAAAGGGAACGTTCCCACTACATTGATAAAATACAGTTTTAATACGTATACTTTTCCATTTGTGTATGTTTTTTTTCTTCTAATCAATGTAGTTTTTGAATATTTATTTGATTTTATTGTGATTAAACTACCAGGTATTTATATTTAATGAAACCTAATCAACTCTTTGTTTATTTTTTAGCTGCAGAAACCAGATGAAAATCTCAACACAGGTGCTATAGCACATTTATGCCACATGATGGCAGCAAACGCAGACTGGACTCTTACTTCCAGGTGTGGCGCTGTGCCCTGACTAGTTGGCATGTCGGCCTGCAGCGAGGAGTTTGCGAGTTGGTGTGAGTGCCAAGTTCAAGACGGATTACTCAGGAAAGACTGTGCTAGAGCAAACTAAACTTAGGCATTGTTTTAAAAGAATATTTAATCATGTTTGGCTTTTAGAAGCTGGACAAGGCTCTGCATCATGAGCTAAAATAGGAATAGGAGGCAAGACAGCTCGACAGAAGCTTGCAGCACTGGCAGCACATCAACACATGTAGGAGGTTCGTGTCATGAAGTTAGACGGCATCATGACTGAACCTCCAACTGAGGCTCACCTGATGGCACAGAGGTATTTGGGAAAGCTGCCTTCTGCCCGCTCTGGTCTTCTGTGTAGGACGATTACACTGTAGAAGAGATCCGTGAAAAGCTGAAAACACGGTCATCATGTGCCACGCAAGGTTCAATAAAAACGTAGACGGGTTTTAAGAGGATCCCGTGACGGAGTGGAAGACCGATGTGTCGCCGTGACGACGCTGTGGTGTGATCAGGCCTCAGAGGTGCTGATGACAGCCGGAGGTCGGTGGGCTGCAAACTGGAGAAACGATAGATTTGGCAAATGTCTGGCGATTCTTTACTTCTGTAGAAGCAGGAATGGAGGATCTGAGTTCTGGGAACATCAGATTCAGAGTGACACACAGATGTGTAGGATGCATCCAGCTGGCAGAGATCCCTGAAAATGACACAGCTGTGGATTTGACCACATCTGGACGTTAGCCTTAGACCTTCAGGCCCCCTGCATGTAGCACGACCTGCGCTGTTGCTTTGTTTATAGATCCAACAGACGACATTGGAGGAAGCCATCAGGCCTGGCAGTTTGGCGAACACCAGAGAACTCAGTCCCAGAACATCCCTTCCCACCGTCACCGCTCAGATTCTCCAGCTTCCTCCACAATAAGGTTTAGCGCAATTAAATGTGAACTGAGTTTAGGTGTTGCTCCTGTGTGTGAATGAAAGGTAAGCTGTGAGGAGCCTGGTCAAACGATGGCGGCCATGTGGAGCTACAGCGGGTCAAACGATGGCGGCCATGTGGAGCTAGAGCGGGTCAAACGATGGCGGCCATGTGGAGC